CAAGATATTATTAAAGTCTCTTTAAAATGTTGGCCACTTTCACTTTTCCATCATGTTTAATGGTATTTTCGAAATTTTTGATTTCTAGAAATACAAACTTTAATAAATACTTTAATAAATTGAATGTAATTTCTGGGCTGATTAGAAAGAATGTAGAAAATTAAAAAAAAAAATATTTATCATTTCAATTAATTTGATAGAATAATGTAAGCTTATTAGCTTGACAGCTTATTTTTGTGCATATGTTGTGTACGTAAGCTGACGCTAAACGCCTTCAAAAAAGGATAAATTTTTGAATACTTTACGTAACAAAGAATTGTAATTTGAAGTGTATTTAATGATAAATATAATAAACCCGATTTAGAAAAGAAAATATAATAAATAAAAACGGTAAATATGTATGTTGGCCGTGTAACTACTATACAAATTTATAGGAAAAAATAAAAATAAAAATGAATTGGTTTTAAATTATAAAATTTTCAAAACAATTTTAAATAATGTTGAATGACAGATTAAAATTTCTGATTTTTCAAGAAAAATTTTATGGTATGTTAAATTTTTCAGAATGAAAAAATTTTTGTTTGAATAATTTAACTGCAAAATGCCATTTGGGTTATTTTGAATAGAATTTTAAAATTTTCAAATTTTTTAAGAATTTATTTTTTAATATTTTGTAAAAATACATAATATACACAAGCAGTTTAACTATACTCAAAAGCAATATTGCCGTTTTAAAAAAGTTTTATATTTTATAATTTTAGTTAACAGTTGTAACATTATGAATCTAGTAATACTTTGTCTTCCAATAAATTGTAATTCCTCACACAAACAAATTGCGCCAGTTCATAATTAACACCTTAAGGAAATAAAATAAATTATCTTGGAAAAAAATTACTATACGGACTGTTCACATTGGAATCTAAAAGGTTTTTTTTTGTTAAAACAATTTAAAACAGCACGTGTATTACTAACATATTTTAAAAGCTCCAATTTTAATTTAACTTTTTATTTTAAGATGTTAAATTCAATTACAAATTTTGAATTATTTTAAACTTAGAAACTACCTTAAATCAAATAAAAGATGAAAGACAATTTAAAATTACAGAATATGTGTTATTAATTAAATTAACATTAATTAAAAAACAGTACTTGAGCAAACAAGAGTTTTTTCGTGAGGTCCTTGTTTCTGTAAGAAATATTCAAGAATGTTCTTGAATTTTTTACACAGACTCTAAATTCTACTGACATATTACGAGGAATTACGAATTATACGAATATTACGAGGGTCACTATTTATATTTCGGGTCCTGGCAATTTATATTTCGGGTCCTGGAAAGTTTGACATTTTTTAGGACAACTTCAGTCAGAACGTTTTGTCAATCGGAGTGGAAAAAGTGCTACGAAAATTGGTTTCAGCGCATGCAAAAGTGTATTGATCTTCATGGGGAATATTTTGAAAAACAATAAAACCATTTCCAATAATAAATGTTTGTTTTTTATTGCTAGACCCGAAATATAAATAGTGACCCTCGTAACATTTCATATCATATATGTGCAAATTAATTACAAAAAGATGAGAAGAGCGGAACCTAACATTAAAGTTAACAATGATGTTATTTAAAATGTTGGGAGAAAAATGGGGAAGAAAACTTGGATCCTTTTAAGGGGAGTGGCGAAGGGAAAATCTTAAAAAAATTTTTGCATCGGCACAATCCAATTAAAATGAATATTGTAATAGCGTGATTAAACTCGCGAATGGTATTCCAGAAATAGAACTTGTCTTGCAAATCATACTTTTAATTCCACAAGTTATAATTAGCCATTGACAAAATAACTTTTCTGAGATTTTATGATTTAATCTTTTTTATTAAAATCAACTTATAAATAGTAACATAATGAAAATTTGAAAGAAACTTAGAACCGAGATGTTGGTGATTCAACTTAATATCGAAATTTCTCCACTAGATTTATTAAGAGTCTATATTTTTTTTTTGTAAAAACTCCTATTTTGCTAATTTGGAGCAATGCTCCAAAAGTAAAGACCGAAAGCGTTGCGTAAAGTCGAGTTTCTTTTATTACGATAAAAATAATTTATTTCTTTAATCATATTAAAAAAAAATCTTTTTATTTAACAAGAGCTATTTCTGCGTGAAATTCTTTTTTAACGTTATCCATTATTATTGTAATATTAAAATATAACGTAAGAGAACTCCGCTTTTAAATTATTCCGCATTTAATAGTGAGCGGTACAATAAAACAACAATGCCTTAATGCTTTATAAAATTGTAAGAAAGAAACTGTCTAAAGGTGTAATTTTCTCTCAACTTGAAAATTCATTTATTTATATAAATTTTTATTTGGTTTTTAATTTTTAAAAAATATTAGATTAAGTACATTTCAAAAATGTACGTTTTACGTTTTGCAAATTTTTTTCCTTATGAAATATATATGTTGAAAATTTCTTAAAAATTGTGGAAAGAAAAATATTAGTTTTTATTTTCAATAAAAGTCTTGAGTTTGATTTTTCAATAAATTAAAATAAATTTTTATATTATAACCGGTCGAAAAATTAGTGAGAAAATAATTAATGACGAAAATAATTAGGATGATTCATTTCGCGCTAGAAAATTTTTTTTCGGTAAATTATAGTATGTTTTACATTACGCACACTGCACTGCACATCATTTAATTTCCGAGATTAAATTACATAAAAAAATTTTAACTATTTTGCCATGAGAGTATAAAGTCGATGAGGACCCTATTCGGAACACAACTTTTTAAAAATCTTTATAGTGGTCTTGAATCGAACTAAACCGTAATTAAAAATAGGTCAAAATATTATTATAATTCTACTTAATTTTATCATATTTTGTAGTACAACCAATTTTTTGCAATGATTCGTAGTATACCAGATCCATTTCAAAATTCATGTTGGTTTCTGGCATTGCGTTGATTGTATTGCAACTTTTTATGCTACAGTAAGCTACGCACAACAAATTTGCTACGATGTAGAAACGACAGCAGAAAGCTACTTACTATACTACTCTGTGAACGCAACGTGATTTTCTTTTCAAAGGAGAATAAAATATTTCGAAGTGTTCCAGATTTAAATTCATGGCTTATCCTTTCTTATTTCTGAGATTGTAGGTCGCATGTAGCTTTACTTCGCATTGCAGGTCTGTTATTCTTCAATTTTAAATATAGCAAAAAAATAACTAAGTTACAATAAACGTCTTAAACACTTGCTAACACGAATTAAGTATTTTGTATAGTGCACAAAACTTACTTCGTCAATGATGGTTTGTCTTACATGTCTGCCTTGAAAGCACAAAATTACGTTTTATTCGTGATAATAATCACACAAACTTTCAGGCTGAAATCTACAATAATTTGGTGGATTTTTTGAATCTACATCTAAATGGTTGTGATGATATTTATGCTTTCACGAGTTATTTTGCCATCGTTATTTGTTGATACGCCAAGAAATTATGAATTACATGGAGCGAATGAAAATAGGAAAATAAAATCTGATGTCGTCAGCAGATAACAGACAGCAATGTATTTTGTCTAGTTAAGTAAAAGTGTTACAGAAGATTATGGAAAAATACCATTCAAAGACTTTTCCAATTTTTAGGCCGTTAGTAAGCTTTTAGTTAACATACTCAGAAAAATGTAAATTTGGCTCTTAGTAAAGTTTAACTTTGTGCCATCCCAATTCCTTGAAATGCTCGCTAGTTAGTTTCGGTAACAATCAGAGCTCAAATATCAAATTTCAAGAAATTCCAGCAAATCCGTTCCTTAGATATAGTAAAAAATGTAAAATCGCTCCCACTTTGGTTTCAGAGCCCTGGTCGTTACAAAATGTGCCATTCGAATTTCCTAAAAAGCTCACTATTTAATTTCGGTAACAACCAGAGCTCAAATATCAAATTTCAAGAAATTCCATTAATCCGTTCCATACATATGGTAAAATATGTAAAATCGGCCCTCAGTTGAGTTTTTGAACCCTGATCGTTTCAAAACATTTATACGTTCATTGTTTTAACACTCCAAATTTAAATATTAAATTTCAAGGAAATTGATTTATTATTTCTTTTATATGGGCGAAAATCTAAAATTGGCTCCTAAGGCCTGATATATTCCAAAAGTTATTTAATAAAGCCTGATTATAAATTTAATTTAAGGCCTGATTTATTCAAAAGTTATTTATAAAAGTAAAAGAAAAACTCGCATATAAAATTTCATGAAAAACGGTTCAGCCGCACATGAGATACACGCGTGCACACACAGACAGACAGACCGACACCTCTCTAAAAATAGTTTATTTACGCTTCCCTACTATGGAGAAGTGCGTTCCCACCAAAAACTCGATATGTAAAATTGGTTTCCATCACATAACCTTCCTTATTGTATGCAATGCGGTCGGTAAAAATTATGAGAAGTTCCGAAAATAAAAACACATGTAAAACTTAATTACGCATTAATTTGTTATACATAATTCATAATTTACGGTTCATGTGGTTCATGTTGAAGTTAGAGGAAATTCAATCAAAAATCGATATTCATATCCTTTCGTACGTTATTTATGACCCAGGAAGGTGCATGACATTTCGAAATCTAAATATGTTTCCAAAAGATATAATATTGCAGTTTTAGATGTTTGCGTTTTTAACAGTGAAATTAATAACATACTCCAAATTGGCTACATTCAGAGTTTTTTTTTAAATTGATCGTGTTGTTGGTTTTACTTTAGTTTGTTGAAGAATATTAGAGCTTCTAATGCATCTATGAGCACATACGATGCCTAATGATGTTTGACTGCCAAAATGTAGAGTACAAAATGGACTCTATTGTAATTTGAAGTTACAGTTCTTTATGATTTAACTTTATATAATGCATATAAAACGGGGCGGGAAATATATACGTCGGGAATTGATGTAGTTATGATCTCAAGAGTTAATAAGCAAAATAAAAAAATTAAGAAACATAAAGCTACTTACTTGAACCCGTACTTCAGGTAAATTGACTTTTATAGCTAGTTCTTCTCTAGAATAAACATCAGGATAATGTGATTTTTCAAAAGCACGCTCTAGCTCATGTAACTGATAAGTTGTAAATGTTGTACGATTCCTTCTGTGTTTTTTTTTTGAATAATCATCTTGACCTAAAATAAAAGTTTGGTAACATATATTTTATTTATAAAAATTTATTAATATTTTTACAGCTGCGAACAAAAAAATTCAATTATAAATTACAAAAAATACATTGTCTCGTATTTATTTTAAAAGCACGCGATTAAAAAATTTTAGAAAAGAAACCAAAAAATTCGTGAAAATTCTTGATTTGAAATTAAATCACGATTTTCGGAGTTCGCCAGAGAATTTGTAAAAAAAAATGAATGGTTTAAACAAGTCTCTTTCAAAATCAAAAATAAATCGCCTTCTCTTAGTTGTAGTACGTTTGTTTACCAATATTAAGAAAAATTGCTTAAAATTCAAGACAATATTCAGCCCTTTCCCATATCATGTAAATATAATAAGGCCTATGTACAGAAAAAAAAGAAAAAGGCAGGTAAAATTTCTATGTTAAGGTAATGTACAGCATTCATGCAGGTTTGTTTGAGTACTGAGTCAAAAGTGGACAATAATGTGAAAAATACGTGGAATACATATTTATTGAGAACGGTAATGTAAATATGACTTGACAGTAGAAGAATGTTGGTTCTATCATACCATTTGAAATGAAATTTCGAAAATAAATATTTAGTATTATTAAATGAAATGAATGATTTACAAAATACTGTTAAACTTGTACTTGACTTAGCTTTGGAAGTTTTTCAACCAAAGACACAGTTATGGTAATCAAGTGTATGCTGATCTTTCCGCACGTTAATTGTATATTTATTTTTATAAAAACCATGATATTTCACACTGTTATGAAAGCGAAACAAAACTATTATAAATTGTAATGGTAGAAACAATCTATGTGAATTTGGTCAAAAAAGAGGAGATTTCTCCTATCATGATGTCGTATTAATTTACTCGATACTATTACTGAAATTTCTAAGAAGTGTGCAAGTTTGAATTTTTTTTTTCTTTTAGTTTAAAGAAAATGGAAAATTAAAACAAATAGAATAAAATAAAAATATAGTTTGTATTTTAATATGACAACCATAACTGTTTCATTTAATTTTGTTATTTACAAAATAATTACAAAACTATTTATTCATGTTTTAAAAATTTTTATTATCTGGTAATTAAGAGATTATTTATAATTCAGAATGTTTATAATTTACACTGTTAATTTATATTTTTATATTTACTACTTTAATCAAGACAAAAGTATTATATTTTATATTTCTTTAAATTTTTACAAGCAAGACTTACATCTTTCATACTTGCAGCAGTAAATGCGAACTGCGAAAATATCATCATTCCGTGAATAAAACGTTATTGAATACTTTTGTTGTAGAATGGAATTCATTTAAAAAAAATTCGCGGAATTTAAAACAAAACAAAAATATTTTTATGTAATTGAAGAATCTTAAATAATCTTATAAAATGAAATATTTAGAAAGTGAAAGAAAAAAAAATATTATTATCAGTTTAAACGTGGATATATAAGATCTACACAGATATTGTTTTCGGGTTTTGATTTCTTAAAACGTATTTTTAATTTTAAACTTTAATATTAGTTTGAGAAAAAATATTAATATTATTAATTATAACGAAAAACACTTCAAAGCCTATTATATTATGTTCATGGTACTGCTAAATTTCTATTCAAATATTTAATCTAAAATTTAGAAAATAATAAAAAAGTAACACTTTTCCAATCTACTTTTAGCACTTTTCCAAAAAAATTTTGAAAAAAAAGTGGTTATTAGTTAATTCAATCTGTCCGTCCGTCCGTGGACATGTTTACAAACCTTTTACACCCTTGAATATAAAATGCTGAAATTTTACATGTAGATTAAATTGATTAGAAGCAAATTTTTTTTCATCTCCACCTCTCTGAAGTTATCGCCTTTCGAAATTTGTAAAATTGAAATATTTGGCACCTTATTTCTGAAACCGCAAGCTTTTTCAAATTTCAAAGCAAACGGTAAATTTCATGCCATTGAAAAATTTAATTATTTTATTTTTGTTACAATTAATCCTTAAAATCGAGTACTATGTTAACCACCCCTTTTTAAATATATTTTCGCTTTATTTCAAAGACTGCATAAATCGTTCATGCTAAGCATATGCAATCCTAGTAGTAGTTTCGTATATGAATGAAAATTATTTTAATAATGTAGTTAGTATACATACATAGATTGTTGTTAGAAACAGTATTTTCATTTGTTGAAGGGAAAAATGCTAAAATATAAACCATTGGTTTGACCCAATATTTTTTTTTGTCAGAATACGTGTGTACATAGTATGTTAGTATATTTCTTTCTTAAGTTATTACATACATATGTATGTACATACCTCAAAAATATGAAATTTTGAACAAAAATGCGTTTTTGTATTTATACTGCAAAAAGTAGCGCGTTTTTGCTTGTAGAACTTGTAAAGAACTTCAGCAGCATTTGCAGCATTAAATTTGTGCTGTCATTATTAAGAAAAAAATATAACCTTAAATTTTAATAGTATGAAATAAGACCGCGTAATAAGACCGCTAAAACATTTTTAATTTCTTTAAAAAAATTTAACTTTGTTCAAAAATTTTCAATAAATTTCAATAGTTTCTTCTAAAACAAAATTCAATAGTTTCTTCTAAAAAAAAAACTTGCTAATTTTCAAAATTGTATAATGTCGGAAACACTCGAGAGTAGTGAGAACATGTAAGTACATACATATCTACATTATCAAAATTAAATTTTTCAATAAATTTGAAATGGTTTTCTTATTATGTAGATTTGAGGATGAAGAAAATAGAATAAAAAGATGGTCCAGTGCAGAAACCAAACTCCTCATAACTGAAAGACTGAAATTAGAAAACGACTTCTGCTCGGGGCGAAGAAAGAAGAGTGTGATGTGGGGAGTAGTTTTAAACAACATTCTTGAAGTACATCCAGAGTTTCCTTATTCCAGAGAGCAAATAGCCAAAAAATTTGCTAATCTTCTAGCAACATTTAATAGAATAAAAAAAAAATAAAAAAACTGGTCAAGGTGCAACAATCTGGATATTTTATGAATTATTTGATGAAGTATATGGCACTTCATTTACCATCAAACCGCCGGAAAACACATTAATACAAAGCCTTCCTTTTACAGAAGGAATCAGCGACGAAGAAGAGAAAAATAGACCAAAGAGATCTAAAAAATATGAAATATATGTTCTAATAAAGCTGAAAATGAAAGAACTGAAGTGAGACACAAAGAACTGTTAGAGATTGAAAACAAAAACATTGAAATAGAAAAAGCAAAGGTATGTATGAAATAATTATTTATTTATGGAATATGTATAAATCTTAATATATTTGTTGATTTCAGCTTCAAGCCCTCATTGAATTAAAAGAAATCATTAAAATAATTTTGCACTGTAGGTATGATCTTCTTCTTCCTCTTCTTGAGGCTGCCAGCAAATACATTTTTAATACATTAGATTTTTGTTGTAAAAAATTTCGATGTTTTTTTATTCTGTTAAGTTTTTTTTGGAAGCTGCTTAGTAAGATGTTGTTTAAGAGAAAATTACTTTCCTTTATCTTTTTTTTGCCATCCGTATCCATTTTTTATTAATTTTTTTTAAACAAAAATAAATTAATAATATTAACATACCAACACCAAGTTTTAAAACTAAAAAGACAAAATAAAATTGACATGTCAAAAACAGATGGTTGCAGTGGGACGTTTTTATTTTCAGAACTTTTTTTTTCAGTTTTTGAATTTTCTTTTGCAGAATAGCGCTGAAAACATAAGAACTACTTTTTAAGATCTGCAAACTTGAACTCAACCTATGTACGAGTAAAATATGTTTTATTTTGATTAGTACTTTTAATCCGAAGAGTTATTCTTGTACATATAACTATGAATGTCGTTAAACATTTGGTATGTCCGAAAGTAAAATTTCAGAGTCATAATAAATCTGATAATGAAGGTAAAATTTAACTTCTTCAAATTTAATAGAAAAACATTTCTTAATAAAGTTGGGTCAAACCAATGGTTTGTTCTTTAGCACTTTTCCATTCAACAAATGAAAATACTGCTTTTAAAAGCAATCTAGCTATGTATTACATTATAAAAATTACTTTCATTCATATACGAGACTATTTCCAGGGTTGCATATGTTTATACTGAACAATTTATACAGTCTTTGAAATAAAACAGAAAAAAAATTAAAGACACTTTAACATAATGCCCGATTTTAATGGCAAATTTGCATCAGTTAAGAAAAATAATTATATTTTTTGATTTGAAACCTTTAGCTTTCTGCATTTATAGAAATTTGAAAAAACTGGCAGTTTCGAAAATATAAGGTGACAAAAATTAAAATTTTAGAAATTTTGAGAGGCGATAACATGAATTTTTACCTGTCTCCACCTCGGTGGAGGTGGAAAAAAATTTTCTTCCAACAAACTAAACTTTTATGAATATCTAAGAGCTGTAAAATTTCAGACTCTTTCAACGTTATGTTTAGAAGAAAAGCGGTGTCAAAAATTTGTAAAAAACGGACCTTAGATGACGCTAACTTTTAGAGGCCATTTTAGTTTTTCAAGTTTAAGTATGATATGGCGCGAAAGAAGAAGAAACCCACTGCCTGTCTGTGTTTGTAAAATTTGAAAAATGGTTTAATTGCAATAAGTAATAAAAAAATGTCATGATAATAAGTAGTAAAAAAATGAGAGACAGAAAATTTTCTTCTACGGAAATAAGTTAATAGTAAAAATTTATGTATGCATGAAATTTCGACTTTCTATCTTCAAGGGTAAAGAAGTTTTATAAACAAGGCCACGGACGGACAGAATAAAACTAATAAGCACTTTTTTCAAAAATTTTTTGGAAAAGTGCAAAAAAAACTTTAACAAAGCTGGGTCAAACCAAAGGTTTGTTTTGTAGCACTTTTGCCTTCACATGTGAAAAGTTCACAAGTAAAAATACTGCTTTGAAAAACAATCGACGTATACTTACCACACTATTAAAATTATTTTCATTCATATACGAAACTATTTCTATG